ATGCTGTTAATCCCTTTGCCTGCTGCCGGGGCATTGTTTCTGAGCATGGTTGAATAATTAAAACTTCAACCAATAACACATGAATATTGTATATTAGTAACTGGGATAAGGATTTTATGGAAAATTCAGGATGCACGCATACTGCGCATAATATGCGAGAACATCTGAAATGAAATATTCGAAGTAACGTAGCGTATAACACGTGAATCAAATATTATAATTTATTACACATTTATAATCTATAATGTAAAATCGGTTGGTGTTCGCGAAAAATTTTAAAACGCGCAAACTTCGCATCCGCATTAATAATAACAGTATATACAAATAAATATATTGAATACAAAATATATATTTCCCCGTCAGAATACTCTGCAAACTATAGTTAGCATTTAAATTTATATTGCTCTCGAGGAAACTGTTTATTGTTGTTACTGTCACTGCTGTCATTATTGTCGTACGTGCAGGCTGATTGCGTTGGAGACTCGGAGAGCGACAATTGCGAGGGCGTTTATGGGAATTCGCGTACGTTGCTGTCAGAAAGTGGAGATTTTCCCTCGATTAGAAAAAAAACGCTCTCTTACAGACTCTCATCCACGGTGCAACAAATTCTACGGAAATTGTCTCTGTGCGTTTTATTCGGCCATAGATAGCGTTAGTTACTTACAATTAGCGACACAAGATCCTCATGTTCATACGTAGTATCTATTTCCAGATTGTGTAACATTATATGAGAAGTCCGATTGGTGCTACCAGCGCTCATTAAATTGTTGATGTTTACAATTTAATGACGTTGCGCGTTAATTGATATCCCACGCGAAACAATTACATTGTTACATAAACGTGAAATGATACGATTCGAGAAATTACGTATCTTCTTAAGGTTTTTCCACAGGAATATCTCGATCAATTAATTTCTCTCATTTTCTGAAAGTACCTTCAACGGTGAGGCGTTATTTTCTTCATTAAAGTAGAAAATAGATATGAATTGTCTCGAGAGTGGAAATGCGAGAGCGAGCTATATGGTCGTTTGATGAAAATCAAATAAATTTGAATTGATCATCAGAATGATGTTACATCCACGTCGTGATAATTGGCACGATGGGAAATGACTGCATTACAACTTCGTACAACGTTAGAACGCTGGAATAGCATAATACAGAGGAAACTCGATTGAATCGGATAGATACAACAGTACAAAATCGCGTTCACGTTCCTACGAAATTTAAAGGAGAGAAAAACGATTTGTTTCTTGACACACAAAATACTGAAATATTAACAGTCTATTTTGAGATAGTGTCGGGTATTTATTTTACTATTGAAATATTTGTGTCGAATGTTAGAAATTGTTTCGTTTCTTTTCCAACGATTTCAGAAAGGCAAGAAAAAAAAAAGAGAGGAATGAAAGCTTTCTTAACGTCTTGTCTTTCGAAGTAAAAAACTCATTTTTACGATCTCGCAAGTTATCTACAGGATAATTTCTATACTTTATGTCGTGCCTTGACGAGCCCTGTCATAAATACTACTCGTCGACGGTCATGCACGTCTTTGCCGTGTGACGCAAACCGTTGTTTGACGCTATGGGTTAAGGGTCAGACAGGCCTTTTAATTTCTGCAGGCGCCCTTGAACAAAGAAATCGTAAATTTTCTTCGCCCAGCCGAGTGTCTCACCTGGGTTGGGTGTGGCGTTCATTGCGAAGTAAGAACAAATGGACGATTCTCTAGAAATATACGAGCGAGCGAATGATTGCCTCGTTATTGCTCGCAATTAAAGAGCAAAGATTCTCGTATCGATCGTTGGAACTTCCCACAATCAGTGAAACAAACACGAGGCAGTGGAATGGAATATCTCCAGTAACTTTTTATAATTGCAATTGTATTCTTGAGAATTTTTTTAACTTGCAAACAACAACTTTTCACATCTCTCGACAGAGAAAGAAAGATTTCGATTTATGCATTCGTCTTATTTATTTAAAAAAATGACCTTTTTGACAATTGTATTTCCGATGTATTTCTGATCGAGTAACAGGCGATGAACCGTTTGAAGTTTGTTTATTACGATATTGTGTATTTTATGCGAACTTTGATGTCAAAATTAATTCGATTGCCTAATGATATGGAACGCAATAATATTAGGTCGGGACGTATACGCACGTGTATTAATCTCGTAACTGGTTTCCTCTTTTGTTCAATCGAACAACCGAGTAACTCTCGTATATACATACATCGTAATTCCGTTCTTTGTTTCATCGCGTTATCCGCGCGCAGTTGTCGTTCATTCTCTCACAGTCCTGATATCGATAAAATTGTACATTTGTTGGCGATGAATTATTACCCGCGTCGTTCTCCGCGTAATTCATTTTCAATTATAATATAGAATTCGCCGAAGAGAGAATGAATCTACCAACGACCGTTCTTCATGCATTATTTCACGCTCCACCGACATCGACGCAGCTCGCCTTCGCTTTTTCGTTACTCGTCAATTTCAATTTCATCAATTTCTAAATTTCACTCGACCGGTGAGATTAAAATTCACGAAGAACGATATCAAACTTGTTACACTTGTCCGGTTTGTCCGTTCGTGTCTCTGACACTTGTTCGATATTCACTGAATTCTTGTCAGTATTTCTTGCTCCATCCATCTTTCTTGCTCGTCCTAAATTTATCCCTCTGTCGCCGAAGAGTTCATCTGAAATTGTTTCATGCTTGTGCCTCGTAGTTTTTGCGCGTCGTGCGCAGGCGTGTGGCAGTACGAAAGTCAAACTCGATCGACTATAAATTTTAAAAAGCAAACTCTGAATCGATGCGTTAGATTTTCAACAAAAAA